GTCATACAAGTCCAATGATTATTGATGTGCTAAATGCTAATACTTTTGCTCTAAACTTTAACACCTACTCAGTAACTGCTTGCTATCGAGGCGCAGCCTCGAAAAGGGAGGTTGCGATTCTAAACGACACAAAACATTTAAGATGAAGCATAAATATCCGATTCACATTTCACGACAAATACCCTAACAACACAAAAAAAAAACCACGAAGGAGAGGAACTTACCTAGCCTGCTAACGTTAGGTAGCTAGCTACGTGGCTAATCAGCTGACCCCGCCTGCTCTCTCCGATTGGTTTACGTCACGTTGCCTGCGTGGCACTGCACGCACGTAATGGGATGAACACAATAAAAATTGGGTCAGGATTTATATCCAATAAACGTATGTTACCCCAACTCAGGCTTAATACCTCATTTTAATATGATTTAAACGTGTTGGTCAAACTCATCCTTGTCAAATCGCCTAAACCGATTTTACATTTGTTCAAATCAAACTAATACAATTGGTCTGAAATAAAATTATTCATTTCTTTCTTTAATTTGACCTCCCCATTTCAGACACACATTACACAAAATCAGTTTAAAGTGTTTTTATTTAAAATGAATAAAGATTCATTTGAATTCATATTTATAATAAATACAAGTACAGCCATGGCCAAAAGATTTGAGAATGACACACGTATTAATGTCCAGTGTCTATTTTGTTTTCATGACGGTAATTTTACATGTACTCCAGAATGTTTTGAAGCATGAAGCAAGATGCCATGAAAATGAGCTTCATTGAACTTCAAAGACAGAGGCTCAATTGCTCTGAAGGAGGCTTCAGCGGACTAAAGAAAGTCCATAAAACACTAGGACTGTCTCTTAAAGTTGGTTCATCTGCAGGCTCGGAACACCACCAGTGCAGAACTTAGTCAGGAATGTAAGCAGACAGATATGAGTGCATCTACACTTACAGTGCGGCAAATATTTTTGGTGGATGGCCTGGTGTCTAGAAGGACAACAAAGAAACCACTTCTCCCCATGAAAAACATTATGGACAACTCCAAGCATTGATTATCCAATAATGACCTGCGATCAGTCAGGATATGGCCCAGAAATTAATTGACAGCATTCCAGGGCGAATGGCAGAGGCCTTGAAAAAGAAGGGTCAGCAACTCTTGACTCTTTGCGTAAATTTAACATAATGGTTCATAATCCTTTGACACTTATGAAATGCTTGTAGTTATATTTTAGTTTATCGTAGTAACATCTTCCAAAAAGATCTAAGAACGCTGACGCCACAAACTGTGAAAAACAATACTTGTCATTCTCAAAACTTTTGGTCATGGCTGTACGAACATTCCCATGGATTTATTCGTAAATGAGGCCCAATGTATTTTTAAATGTACACAGTTTATCACAGCAATATAACAATGTTCCTAACTAAAGTTCCAATGCTCACTTAGCACAGATAAAGGGTCGAAATATCTCTTTAGGGTGTGATAAGGCGTAAGAAAATATGACAGGGGAACCTCTTCTCACAACTGATGATGAACATGTTGTACTACCTCGTGTGTGTGGGAACATGAGTTTCTTCAGCATATATCCGGTGTCTATGGCCAACAAGTATTTCAGCTCATTCACAGACATGAATTTGGTGATCTGAAAGGCACAGAGGAAGTGCAAACATTTTAATTGCCAAATGTACTCGACCGTCTGCCAAAATCAATAACTGCTTCCGAGTTCGTCATTGTTGACGTGGGTGCTAAATTGCCTCAAATTTGGCCTTGACACCAATCTAATGTTGTCTGACCAGTCTGACGACATCTTTCATGGTTTGCTTTGGGGCCATTCACAGTCAACGTGTGAATTAATTCATAATTATTAGATTAAAGAGGTTTCTGTTGAGTTGCCGGTCAAATTTGACCCATTTACAAAAAATAGAAATCAATCGTGAACTTCTTCTCTGAGCAACTCTGTAACTTGCTGTTTCTTGCTTTAGTAGAAGAGCATAGAAATGTCTTGTCTGGACATTGTTGTAACACTTTTTTCCTTACCTAGATGCATCAATGTGGGAGAAGACGAGATACAGAGACATTCAAAATGTAAACTGGCACATGTATCACTTTTGCGACTGTCTGTTTTTGCTGTTAGAAATAAAGCACCTTTTAATCCACTTGGATCAGACAATGCTGAATTTAAACACATTCCTTTTTTGAAATTGAAAAATAGGCCCCTCAATCTTCATTAGGTTCCAAAAGGTCAGAAATTATGAAGAAAAAAGTTTGTACTGTTCTGTGTTGCACCTGAGAAAAGACATTTTCGGGTATTTTTTAACTGTACCTATATCTGATTTCCAAAATGCCAAACAACTAGATTGCAAAACAGACAGTTCATAAATTTGTTTTACTTTTTAATTTAAAACATTATTTATATTATACTTCTATTAAGATTACATTTGATTTTGACGTGCGTTTTATTTCAGGGGTGTCAAATTCCGGTCCTGGAGGGCCACTGTCCTGCATGTTTTCCAAGTTTCCCTGTTGCAACACACCTGATTCAAATGATCAGATCATCAGCAAGCTCTGTGCAAGCCTGACATTGAACCTGTTCATTTAAATCAGGTGTGTTGCAACAGGGAGACTTGGAAAACATGCAGGACAGCGGCCCTCCAGGACCGGAGTTTGACACCCCTGGTAAAACGCTGGAAAATATTTTTATTTTGAAGCCGGAAATAAATCTTATTTTGAAAGCATTAACGTATTTCCGGCCTCTCGGTAGGGTTTGAGGTCGGCACATCTGTTCGGAGGCATCTTGATACCAAAATGTGAACAGCATGATAAAGAGGAACGTTTAAATTTAGGAAATCATATTTTAATTCAACTACGACATTCATTGCTCCACACATGAATCAAACACCTGTTGTGAACTTTGCAGTTCAGCTCCTTATTGTTCAATAAAAGTGTGATTCACCCTAAAGTGTCACCCGACAGCAAAATTTCTTACCCAATCTTTTTACCTAGTTTATTTACCTTGGTTCGGTAAAGGTCGGGAAACATTGGTACAGTAAAACGGTTCTCATTCGTCTGCAAGTGTGGCTAAACATACGCGCCTCGGATCATGCTTGTCACCAGCTTCGCATTTAACGACCTCTTTGTAAGTAATAACTGAGAATAGATGACCGTTATTTTAAAAAACGATGACTGTTTTGCAGCAGCATTTGTGATTCACGTTCCACTTGCTCGGTGTGGTAAATTCAGCTCTTATTATCGCTGACGTTAGCTTCTATAATAAAAAAAATAAACGGTGACACATTCGCCAATACATGCGAAAACGTACTACTCTGCTGCCGTGTTAAATGCTGATGCTTTAGCTCTAAACTAACAGCTACTTCACATTAGTTAGACGCTATCTAAGCACAGCAGCTCAGAGGAAGGTTGTGGCTCACAACGCCACAAAACATTTTAGCTGAATAATACATGTCCGATCAGAAGTGTACAGCAAATGCCCTAATAATTCACACCAAATGATAATACGAACGAAAGGAACTTTCCTAGCCTGCTAACGTCTGCCCTTTTGACTCCATCAAATCCATGGTATTTTAATCACTGTGTCATGACATTTATTTTCCACATGATGGCGCAATAGAACAAATGGAGCCTCATGATACATCGGCCCAGGACCGACCCAGTTGGATGGAAAGCCTCATTGCTTCATGAGGCTTCAGATTCCCATCACTACTGTTCACTGTCATATTAGCTGACGTTGACGCAACGTTGCCTGCCCAGACGCACGTACGTACTGTATTACGCCCGTGTTCAAACTTCCCAGGTAAATTTTCTGTCTGGACGGTATGGTCGAACATTAGAAAGCCACAACAACCGCTTAAAATAATTAAAAAGTAATGACAAATTCATTTTGGTGCTTCGTTTTATAACGTAAACTGTATATCCTCTTTTCTGGAACCACGCTGAGAAGTCATTCACTGGAGATTTGTTTAGGTACATAGGCCTATTCATTGCAATGAGATGATGATCCAATGTTCATCTGTGATACAGTAATAATTATAATAATGCAAATAATAATGTAATGTCCATCCATCCATTATCCGAGCCGCTTAAACCTCACGAGAGTCGCGGGCGTGCTGGAGCCTTTCCAAGCTGTAATTGGGCAGTAGGCGGGGCACACCCTGAACTGGTTGCCAGCCAATACAATCTAAACAATCTATTTACTGAGGGTGCACCTGTGTCAAGTTTATATGCATCATAGGATGCAGTGTATGTATGCATTTTACTTTTGATTGGGAAGAGTAAAACAGTGAAGTGTGTTAAAGTCTAAAAGTGTGACCGACGTGTTGAAATCATTTGCTCTTAATCGATTTATGAATTTGTAATCTTGGCTATCATATAGACATTTGTGTGAACCTTTAATAATCATATCACCTGAACCACTTACATGTTCCACGCTGTTTTGTTATCATAGATGTCACGCTATCAGGCAAAGTACAATCTCAACACAGCCAGCGTCTTGCTGGAACATTCAAAGCTTTCCCAAACGTCTCTATAAGATATTTATATTTTTTGTTACATATTTACATGAATCAACACATTTACAACTACGAACCCAAATAGGTATAATGCTAGGTGGCATAAGGTTGCTGTTACTCCACGTGAACTCCTCTCTGTGTGTGTGTGTGTGTGTGTGTGTGTGTGTGTGTGTGTGTGTGTGTGTGTGTGTGTGTGTGTGTGTGTGGCTGTGTGTGTGTGGCTGTGTGGGTGTGTGGGTGTGTTGTATGGGATGTGTGTGGGCGGGTGCTAGTGTATGAGTAAGTGAATAAATATGGCGATTTTAGGGTGAGTAAATTGCAATGGAATCCCTAACTTCATTCACTTTTGGAGGGAAAGTGAGCAGAGCAGCCAAAATACTCATTCATAATCTAAAACTGTTCAACTCAACTTTATTGATATATTTGTTTGACTAGTAACACAGCAACATGTTACTAGTCAGGCAAAACTGCAGTGGTTGACATCTGAGCAGCAGTAGTACTACAAGTGAATTCATGTATACCGAGTGTGTCTTACTAGAATGTTTTTTCGACTCGTGTATGAGATTTCTGCACACTAACAACCCAATTTAGGCAAACTAGAAGAACAACTATATACTGTACATGGCATTACTATGCACCCTAATCTTTCTCCTAGTCAAATGATTATGTGTTACTCGTGAGGCAAAACTGCACTGGTTGACATCTGCACACTACTAGTATTGTACTATTAGTGAAGTGCTTGATTTGAACTGGTAAAATTTTACAATCTCACTCGGGGTACTAGTAGGAAATAGATGTCAGTGCATAATTTTGCCTCACTAGTAACATAATCACTATCTTACTAGTATACCAACGTTATTCTACTAGCAAGGGCAAGGAGGTTTCTGCATTTATTTGATATAATCGATACAGAGGTTACAGTACTAGTGCGTGACGCATGCCTACTAGTTGGGCCTTGTCGTGTTACTAGTTCAGCACATTAGTCGACCAATAAGGTTTAATTAATGAAAATGTGACAAAGGGGCATTTGTTGACTGAAGACATTTTACTGTAAGAGTCTTCTACTAGTTCACCCTAGTCATTCTACTAGTGTACTGAATTGTCTTTTTAGTGAGGGCAATGAGCATACCAGTACATGGACGACTGAGTGCACCAGGAGTGTATCCAATAAATACTCAAACGGCTTTACATAGTTGGCAACATCTGACTGGCACATTTCAGGCAAGCGTTGGTTGAACATAATTGGGTAAAAGGCCGACATGTCCCGTCATGTAAAACGTCGAGACGCGGCGCGTGTCATCATGACATTCCAGCAGCTTGAGTCATGTGACACTCACCTTTAGCACACACACACTGCCATGATGGCATACCCTAGGAAAGCACACGCTTCCTGTAAGCGTCGCCTCATCATTATTACAGGCTGCCATTCTGAAACGAGACACTTGACAGTAAAATGGATCAATGGGCAACCCGTCGGGGCGTGTAGAAAGTCCACGTGCTGTTGGCAGTTTCACTTTGGCATTCACATGACCTCACAGAGACCCGTGCCATGATAAAGCAAGGAAAATGACCTTTCTGTTTCTCCCTGTTTCTAGGTGAGTAATTCTCAGCATGATATTGGCATCTATGTTCTCAGGGGCAGTATCAGTTGCAGTGTCATTTGGTAGCTTTAGTAGGGACTTCTCCAATTTCATCCAATCACTATCACATCGGAACACACACACACACACACACACACACACACACACACACACACACACACACACACACACACACACTGATTAGTCCTTTGCATTCGATTTACAGTAATTATGTTATTACTCTGAGTTTTCATCAAGTACAGTATTATAGATTGATATTTTTCCTCTTAAAAAAATACATTGAAAATTATTTTGTGTGTGTTTTGTTTTTTGGGGGGTCGGGGGGCAGGGGGGGCGGTTGGAGGACCTGGAACAAATTAATAGCATTTCCATTCTTTTCAATATGGAAAAATGTTTTGTGATCTAAGTGTTTTGGGTTAAGATCATCGTAATGGAATGAATGAAATTAATCTCTCAAGGCCCTGCTCCATTATTGTTGCTACAGATGTGTTTTCCTCGTCAAACTTAGCTGTAACAAGTTTTGCTTTGAACAACCAACCAGATGACAGCAAAATTCTAATGTCATCAAGTGACAGTACTCTGGTCCTGTGAGGACAAATTAAAAACCTGATTGGTTAAAAAAAAACTAAACAGTCTCATTGTTAATATAGTTGAAGTTGCATGTGATTTTGAAGACCCTGGGCAGGTTATATTGACATGGCAAGTTGTAGAAGCTAACATCTGATTGCCCCCCCCCCCCAAAAAAAAAATCCAATGTCCACAAACATGTACTGGAACCAGTGCAATCAAGCGAAATGCCACCAATTGACGAGAACAGACTGTTGGTAATACAGTAGGTTACAAATATTAGTACTAAGGCTGTAATCACTCACCACTAATCAGCAGTAACACGAGATGCTGGTGCAACAGTCAGCAGCCAGGAGAAGTCAGCCCATGCCGGGAACCCTGTGTGTCCTCAGGGGAACCGCAAACTCAGCAGCTGTTGTGACAGTAAGTACGCTTACTGAATTCATATTGTATAGCTTTTTTTTTTTTTTTTTTTGCCGGAGGTGTAAAAGTTGTGTTCATCAGCACAAAAACCGTCATTGAAAATGTACTGCAATTTAATACGGCCGCTTTTGTGGCAACAGGCTGACTCATCTCCACAGGCATGTGTGCACATTGATGTGGTTTGTCAAGAAAGAGTAACTCTCCAAAAGGCTCCACACCCTCAATTGCGTGTTTCATAATTGGCCCGGTGTGCAACGTTCACAGTGTCACCACTCATTGTTGTAGCATAATATAAAAAGATACCTTATCAATGATGCATTTGTAGGTATTATAACCACACAATTCCACCCACAGTACTGTAGTGTGTTAAAAATGTAATTATGTCTTTAGGGCATTAATGTTGCAATATTTCTACCTTATGAAATATGTCTTTGTGGAGGAGTTTAAGCACATTGGAATCAGAAAAAAAGAGTAAAATTAGATATGCACTGTAAAACAATAACATATTCACTCCATGATGGTAAATACTATAGGTTCAACCTACACTAATTGAAGAGCATATTTATTATACCAGATTAGGACAACACACTGCGGCACGAGAATAGAATGGAATAGAATATATTTGGTACAAATTAAAATTTTAAAAATTGTCACACAAAATTGTGGAAATAGAAACGTCAGAAGAAAATGATGATATATAAATTTGCAATATTTTTATTTTTTAGTCAGATTATTTTTTGGGTGCTCGATCGATTTTACATACATCATACAGTACTTTGTTACTTTGTATATCAGTGATGTAGCGTAGCTGGAAAATAATATTGGACATGAACTTTTGACTTTCACTTTCAGTGACTCACTCAAAACTGAAAATGACTCAGTGACAGTGAGTACTTTTTGTCATACTCTTAATATACTTAGACCAGACACAAGTCTGAATAACTAAACACCAAAATGTGTTTTTCCCAAATGTATTAACAGCAGTCGTTGTGGCTAAGAGCTTCAAGTATCCCGGCCGTAGGAAACTCTCACCATATTAGGAAAATTACGTCATGTCACGTGTCTGAATTCCGCGAGAGATTCCAGACACCATTATTTCCCGTAAACGAGGAGGGGCGTGGCGAAACGTTAGTCCCGCTTTAAGAGTTTACAACGGCACAAAGACCGCCACATTATGACTTCTAGGCGAGTGACTCATCATCATATGATACACCGAGAGTCGATTCTAGAAGTTTAAGGACTACTGGACCAAAAACAAAACGTTTATTCCTTCTACTACACCCCTTCGATTCGTCACTGCTTGGACTCGACCGACCTGCCTCACTTTCAGAGTGGGTTCACTTTTAATGTGAAACTTTCTTTATTCAACACTCGCGTGGACTATATTTTAACATATCGACCTTGGTTGGGAGCACTTATTTGATTTTAAAAAATATACATAAATATTTCAACAGAAAGGATGTACCGAGGTCACGGAAGAGGCAACCTGGCATATGCGGGCGGCGCTTCTGGGTCAAACGCTGCTTCCTTGGAAAGCACCACTACTTCCACTACACAAGAGCAGGTAGGCTTATACTAATACAGTACATACTATCCGTCATTACAATTGCCTAATGTCAGTTATTGCTGATTAACATACGTTTATATTGTGATATACACAATACATACAAAAGGCTATTAGCATCAGTATGTTGACATACCCTCTTCTTCTCTGTAATACTGTATATTGAAAAAATAGGCTAATCAATTCAAAGCAATTCAATAACAGTTGACTGAAGAAAAAAAGAGGCTCAGACTATCTTAAAACCGTACTAGTAGCCGTGTGTTGAGAAATTAAACATTTGTCCACCATTTGTCTATGCTGTGGATCCCCGATACTCGCAGGGGGATATGGGTGAGCCCAACCGCGAATTACGAAAATCCGTGAATAATTGATGACTGGTGATCCCTTACAATTGTCATGAAACACAAAAACACAAAGCAAACAAAAAACAAAATAAAATAATGCAAATTGAGAAACCGCCACAGAGATCAAAAAACACAAAGGGGGATGTGTTTCTGCGAGTAACGGGAGACAATAAAATAAAATAAATTTGGTGAATTCGTAAATACTTATTATGCAATCTAATATGGCCACTAACAAAGTAATTCCCAACTACTGTGCTGCTGGAAATGATCAATTATCACTGAATTTGTCCTCAAATTATTTATTGACCAATTATTTACTTTTTATCAACCATCAATGCTTTTGAAATACTGCAGAGTGAAAGGCAGAACAATTAAATGTGCTTCCACTTAATGGCAAAAGGTATACAAAATAAACCTTTTAAATGAACTAAGTTGAAGTGAGTTGAGGAGCTTCATTTAGGGAAAAGTTGTGCTTTGCCAGCATCTTGTAGCATAATAGATAATAATTATGAGCGGATTTCATATTCACAGAAATACAATGGTAACACTGTATCATGACATCATTGTGATTTTTGTTAAGTGGTATGAGATTTTTTTTCCTATGTGAAATATGAGACTTCACTCATGAAAGGTTGGGAAAAACATTATATTATGGCAAGGGCGGGGGACCCGCCACTAGTTTTACTCACCAGGTATTACAAGTAGCGCTACAAAAGGGTAGAAATTTCCTATTAAATTTCCAGAAATTTAAGATGGGAATTTTGGAAAGATTCCAAATTTGAGCCATTACGTAAGAATTTATGGGAATTAAACTGGGAATTGAAGCTCTTCGGTTCACTTATAATAATGACAATCAGCAGAGTTGCTTGGGCCTGAAAGCCCATTAGTGGGCACCAAAAAATTATTTTTAGATTAGATGTGGCTTTGGCCTGAGCACAAAAAATGTAGATTTGGTGGATTTTTCACCTCCCACCCCACAAAATCTGCAACTCAATGAACCATATATACAATATCACAACATCCTAATTTTTCATAAATTTAGTGCTGATCAGAATACGGATGCCTAATTCTTGTGGTGTTTTGACAGAAGTTAACCATCCCCGGCTCCAGCCAATTCGTGCCCAGCCTCAACGCCATCACAACCAGCCAGGACCTCCAGTGGCTAGTGCAGCCCTCCCTCATGCATCCGCCGGGTCCTTCCCGCTCTCCAGTGCCACCTTACCCGTCCTTATCCAGGACACGCCCGCAGGGTCCACCGCCTCCGCCCCCATCTCATTCACACTTCATCCGGCCGGGCATCATCAGAGACAGCGCCAACCTGGCCATGGGTACGACGCGCCGCAGGAACGACGAGCACGTAAGGCGAACATATTATTGGCGTTTCTGGGACAACGTGTGACAACGGAAAATGAGTCAATGCTGGATCAATGTATGTCAAAATTAGTGCGTAATATCCTGTGACACTCACTGACACATCTGAGCTGTCCCAATTGGACTTGCGCAACCAATACATGGAGACACAACCTGATGAATTAGAGGGTTTTTCTGGACGTGTAAGCGCACGCTGTTTCTTTATTTCTTCACTTGATGACTTTGAGACAATATTAACCAAGTCAAATAATCCCTTGGGACAAACAAACATTGATAGCAGAGCAGTGCTACAAATAAAAAATAAATAAAAGGTAGAAGTACACTGACCTGATTCAACAGTTGAACCTTCTGAACTCAAGTGAATCCTTGAAAAAAAAAAAACCCTCTATGAGTGGAAATAACAATGTACGAAATACTTTGTTACTGCACAAGTAGATTTTTTTCAGGTGTCTGCAATGTATGTATGTATGTATGTATGTATGTATGTATGTATTTATTTATTTATTTTGGGTCAACGTCACTTTGAAAATAGATGTTTTTTCGATGCTGAACTGAACTCAAATTACACTTGCCACTTTGTTCGGCCTCAGGAGATTACATCTTCGACAGATTATTTCAGTTTTAAAAGTTGAAGACAGCTTCACTCTGTTGCTGATTGCTTTGGTTGTCATTTTACTGTTGTTTGGTCAAATGTGGCCCACATACATACAATGCGAATCGCATGCAAATCACCCCCCACCCCCTTCACTGGCCGGGAGGTGAATCGATTCAAAGGATTTGTTGAATCAATTTTGTATCATGGGGAGAAATATTGTGATCCAGCGATTAATTGATATTGAGAACTAGAGTGGGCTAAATCATTTTCGGTCATTTTCAAGTTAAGTGCAGGAAGGAGTAGAGAAAAGGAATTTCTTTCAGGTGACATTTAGGGGACTGCAGTACTTCATTGCGCTCAGCACTTTTCATTACAGCCATAAAACTTAAAATGGCATTCTTGAAAAATGACTAAAGTGGAGTTAGCCCACTCTTGTTCTCAGTGGCCTCATTTACAGTCAAGATATGTTTTCGTTGTAATATTTGAGTGCATTTCAAAATCGGTAGCTTTTTACTTTTACATAAGTATCAGAGTTGAATCAGTACAGTTCCTGCTGTCTGACCAATCTTTTTTTTAACACAAGTATATGTACATGTAGTGTCAGCACTTTTTCAAATTAGAAATGCATTTTTACTTTTGTACTATTGTACATTGCAAGGTCTATTTTTTTATTTTTACCACGCCACCCTGAGTTGAATCACTACTTCTACTTTTACCTGTCTTTTTTTCTACTCAAGTGAGTTGAATCATAACTTCTAATTTTCACCAATTTTTTATCAAGTATTTAGTTATACTTCAGCGTAAGTGTGACTCCAGTGCTGCCCCCCCCCTTCCCCACAGTGCCACATTTATTTTCTCGTAGTGTAAATTGCACAGGAAGTGGACTCGTAGTTGACTCACAGGGCTCGCAAGTCACGTAGGGTGACTCACACCTGAGTCACTGTTGGGCTCAGAGAGTGACTCATCAGTCTTTTGAAAGGGCGGGAAACTGCAGAGCGACGGCAGCTCTTCAATATGCCGCCAGCCAGCGCCAGTGCTGGATGGAGGCTGAGTTGGGGTGCAGCACCGACACAAAAGCAGGCACATTTCAAAGATTTTCTGCTGTGACTCATAGATTAGACTGGTAATTTTGTTCTGTGTCATCATGATGGTGCTATTTTATTTTTACTATTGCCTACTTGTACCTTTCACTTTTTTTTAATGATCTTTAGTCATAGCAAGATTTTAGAGGTGACTCACACCTCTGGATGGATGGAGGGTCGGATGGAGGGATGGATGGATGGATGGATGGATGGATGGATGGATGGATGGACGGACGGATGGATAGATAGATAGATAGATAGATAGATAGATAGATAGATAGGTAGATAGATAGATGGTAGTCTAATTATGCTACAATAATATTTGTACAATTTGATCAAAGTATATACGGTAATCTATCATATTTCTGACACAAGATCTGTTTATATTTACTTTTTTTTCAATGCTATCTATCATTAGAACATTTTTACGTTTATTAAGATACATCAGATGAATGTATTGCCATTTGTGGGGCAGTGTTTCTCAGCCAAGAAACACATTTTCCATTTAAAAAATATATCAGGGCATGCCACCAAATGAAAGTGTCACTAAAGTGGATTCACAGGTTCATTGTGTACATTTTCCGTAGTGGAAGAGGAAAGAGGTTTGTCATTGCCTACAGGTGCCACAGTATGGCATCAGAGCACTCTTTTGATTGAACAAACGCTAATGCCTGATGAAATCAAGTGCCTCCATTCACTTCAACATTCTTCCTTCAGTTTAAATTAGCAAATCTGGTTGTAGCTTCTGGTGGAATTATTAGTTTTGTTCAGTATTTGTCACTAATTGTTATTGTTTTTTTTTTCTTCCAGTTGTCTCACGAGGAGCTGGAGAGACGGAGAATAAGGAGAGAACGTAACAAACTGGCAGCTGCCAAATGTCGCAATCGCCGTCGGGAGCTGACCGACACGTTGCAAAACGTGAGTGTACAAATTCAGCAAAACTAGAAGACGGGTGAAAGTGCTCATTTCCAACACTGTCCATTTCTGAACGCCTGTTGGTTTCAAACAGTCTTGTAGCACGTATAGGCAATTATAAAATGATAAAACTTTTTTCTTGTCAGTTGCTTGCAGATTTTTGCTATTCGCGAAGGAAAACTATAGGTTGAAGGACAGGTTAAAAAACAGACCCAAGGTTATTGGGTGATGGGAGGGGGGGGGGTAATGTAATTATGTATGACTTTTGGATGTGTACTGGTCTCCATCAGGACTGAAATTTAAAGTTTGTTGTCTTGTGTGCATCAGGAGACGGACCTGCTGGAGGATGAAAAGTCCCGTTTACAGAAAGAGATAGCCGAGCTCCAAAAGCAGAAAGAGAAACTGGAGTTGGTTTTGGAGGCTCATCGTCCCATCTGTAAAATCCAAGACTCAGACTCGGACTCGGACGCCAGTGCCACGCTCTCGTCCTTGGCGGGCATCAAGATGGAGCCCGAGGACTACAGTGCGCCCGGACCGTCGCGACCCAAGCAGACAGCCAAGGTGGAAAAGCCCAAACCCAAGATCACCATCCCCACCAAGACATCCTCCTCATCTTCATCCTCATCTTCATCGTTAACACTGGCCGTCAGCCAAGAGTCCGAGGCCCTGCACACCCCCATCCTGACCTCCACCCCTTCCCTCACTCCTTTCACGGCAAGTATGATTTTCACGTACCCCTCGGCCCCGGTGGACGCGCCCCATCAGGCTCCACAACCCTGCAGTGTGGCGCACCGGCGCAGCAGCAGTAGCGGCGACCAGTCGGATCACTCCCTTCACTCACCCACCATCCTCACCTTGTGACTGATGACGTGATTGCAACCGACAATTTCAAACCTTTTTTGAAACTTGTACTTTTTTTTTTTTTTTTTTTTGTAAGGAAAAGGCATTCTCTTCTCCAGGATTCCTCAAATTTTTGGGGTCCATGGTGAATTTTCTCATAGTCGTCACACTAATTAAGCTTATGTACTCTGTGTAGCACTAAATGCTATAGGAAATAAAAGCTGCACGTTTAAAAAAAAACACAATATGACAATATCTATATTTTTCTTTTACCGTAAAAATAAGGTACAATATTGACTTTTAAAAAAAAGTTGTAATCTTAAGAGCATAAAGTCAGATTTTTCAGGGAGGCGGGAAAGTTGTATTTTAACAACTGAGTTTCAAAAATACAACTTTATTTAAATCGAAATATTTCAACTTTTATTGTGGAAAAGATGCCTTTGTTCTACAAAAAAATAGGACTATATTCTATGGAAAAAATTTGCTTTTGTTCTTGAAAAAAATAGGATAAATAAATAGTAAAGACACTATTTTCAAGGAGTATTCGTCATATCAAGGGTGTTTAAAAAATAAGATAAGAAAACTTATTTGTCTCACAGTGGTGAAATTCCCAATTTACAGCAGCAAAATCATGAAAGGGAGAAGTAGAAGAACAAAAAGTTTCTAAATCAATAAAACATATAAAATATAGATATAAGCATATTAAAAATGGGTGAATAGAGGTGAGTCCAGGTTTTCAGGTTTGTCTTTTCAATAGCCTGACAGCAGCAATCATTCAACCTTATTGCAATTGTAATATTACAACTTTTATTCCAGAAAAGATGCATCTATTTTTTTTAATTTTTTTTTGTTGGACTATATTTCACTCAAAATATGCCCTTAGGGCAAAAAGAGTTATAATGCAATGAGAAGAACATTTTTTAAGAAAAAAAATAGGATGAAAAAAAAAATCCCAAGATAAACTCAGTTTTATGAAAATCAGAAGTTTAACAGGGGAGGAAAGTCAGATTTTAACAAAAATATAAATTCATTTGAATTACACCTTTATTGTCAAAAAGACTATTTTTGAAAAATTTGCTATTTGATTTTTTTAAAAAAGGGCTTTATTCACCTCATAATTTGACTTTTGTTTTGTTGACTTTATTTGGGGTTGTCACAGTCATGTCAGAGATTTTAACTGGCCCAAAATGAAGGCAGCAGTAACAGGTTTTCTGTTGGAGCATATCTAGGTATACGTTTTTAAGTGATGCCCTTTTGCAAAGGATTTTTTGGGACCCTAAGTTGCTGCTCGCAGACCCCCTGTGTTCCTTGGGACCCCAGTTTGAGAAGAATCACTCTACCCGAGTGAATATATCATGATACACTCATTACGCCCTTACTTGATGGAGATTTTCTGATACAGTTATCCTAACAAGGGTCCCAGGGCGTGCTGGAGCCTATCCCAGCTGTCTTCGGGCACCCTGAACTGGTTGCTAGCCAATCACAGGGCACACATCGACAAACAACCATCTGTGCTCACACTCACACCTGGGGACAGTTTAGAGTGTTCTGATAACCTGCCACGCATGTTTTGGAATGTGGGAGGAAACTGAAGTACCTGAAGAAAACCCACGCAGGCACGGGGAGAACATGCAAACTCCACACAAGAAAGCCAGAGCCGGAATCAAACACTGCACCTCTGCACTGTGAGGCCAACGCGCTAACCAGTCGACCACCGGGCCCCCCTGGAGATTTTCCAATTGACATATTTTATACCTCTCATTTTCAAGTGTCACAATTGTGTTGAAGATGAACAATGCATGCAGAATATTTATCAAAGTATATTTTGGTAATTTGATTTAAGACTGCATTTTATGACAGCGTTACATTATGGCATGTAACATTTGGATGGAAGGGAAAGTTATCCTTAGCTATTTTTTTTAAATATACCTTTTATTGACCACTAAGGCTGGGCCGTAGGAGTTAATAGCGAGCATATTTATTTGCGAGAGGGTAATATATTTTTGATAATGGGTGGGCAGTGCCTTACTTTTCATCTTTGATTTTAGCATTGTTTCAGAGACAATAAAGACTTTCTCAACGCCTGAAATGCTTCCGATGTCATATTTTTGCATTCCTGATCCCGCAGATTACTTTCCTAATTTGATACTGTATTAAATAGGGTTCACTGCAGTTCTACAAGGAAAACTCATTTCTTCCCTAGCCTAGCAATCCAGATTAAGGGCCATGCCCTAGTACACTTTTTGCCCTCACCAGTAAGACAATTCAGCATTCAGCACTCTAGTTGGCACAGCTTTTTATAGTGAGTCAAAACTGCATGATAGTTAACATTTAGTGCTACAATAGTAGTATTAGTAATGTGCAGATGTCACCGAGTGCATTTCTGTGACAGACAGAACAATTAAATGCTCCTCCGCTAGAGGGCAGTAGCTGCAACGAACCTGTACATCCATTAGTTGCCATTCAACACAATAAAGTATTATTTGTTCAACGAAACCAGCCCAGATTGAGTAAAATGAGACGAGATCATCATCAGATTTTCAGTATAAACAAAACACTTGAACACAATCAGAAACACTGACCTACATTTGACAATAAAGTTGCATCCAATCCAATCCAATCCAACATTTATATTTACAACATAAATGCTAATATTTGTTCCATGAAATACAGTCGTATTAATTTTTCTCAACAGTCTATTGTCTTGATTTTGCTCTTGGCCGCACTGCTTCCAGTTTGAACGTCAACCAATTACAGTACATTTAAAATGTGCGTGGTCATCGCTAAAGCCACCATTTCCTGTCTACCGATTGGTTGATCAGAGCTGAACTTGTTACAGCCAAATTTGAAAAATCGTGTCTAACATCGGGACACATTCACATATAGTTAATAGTCAACATTTCTGATGAGTATGAGGTATTTTATTGAAGTTTTTTATTGGCACAATTACATGTAGTTTATGTTACGTTTCATAGTGGGCTTCGGGCTTTTCTGCATTTCCCACAATGCATTTCCAGCGGACGTATTGAAAGGCAAGCCTCGCTTACAAAGCTTCGTTGGCCATTGATCATCCCTTGTAGTGCATCATTGTTGGCTGTAATGGTCAGGGGGGAAGCCAAAAAAGGGTTTCTTTATTAGATTTAATTCAGAATATCATTACAGTAGTGCATCATTGTTGGCTGTAATGGTCAGGGGGGGGAAGCCAAAAAAGGATTTCTTTATTAGATTTAATTCAGAAAATCATTACGAAGCAGGGATTTGACGCCAACCCCGTCACCGCGAGCTGTTGCTATGGTTGCAAAGGCACAAAGATAGCCGTGGTCAGCATTCTGGAGAGACCTTAACATTTAAACGCAGACGTTCTGTGGTTTATCGTGTCCTTGTTAATAGTTATCATACCAAAATATAAGGATACAACACCCAGGACTGCTCACTCTGTGTTGTTTGAAGCTTTACAATTTATCGTAACATTGTTGATAATTTTGATGAGCATGTCTTCCCTTTACTGTATGTTAGCATTTAGCATTAAATCAATTCTTTTGCATGGAACAACAGCTCGGAGTGATAAATACTGTTAAAAGAAAAAAAAACCTTTCTACGAGAACTTTTTACGTCTTATTAAGTGGTTGTAGGGTACTCTACCCTATCGGATACTCTTGACTCAATGTAAAGTAGAGAAGAGCACATTTAAGTCAATTTTCCTCCTACGTCGCAGCACTGGAAAACGGACTAAGGATGACTACTACTGTGTGACTATTGTGTGCAGACTTGTATATATAATACAGTACATAATAATTGACACATCACAGTGGGCGGTACTTTCCAAAGGATCCAAATGTCCAATCAAGTGCAATTTACCGCATGCTCACAAGCTGAAGTCTGTGTGCTTCTCCATTACTATAGATTGTCGAAGTCCACTATAAACTTCAGTCACGTAAACGACCTTAAATGTTCACACGAACCAACTGGCATTGCCATCCACTATAGTGAACCTCATGGGATGGTGGGATATTTTACTATTTATCGCAAAAAGGACAACACCCTCGAAAGTACTGATAGTGGTAGAGTTACCGGTAAATTAAATCTGGGAAATCCCCACAGAAGGCCCAGGTACAGTACTAAATGCACAACAGGCCACTGATAAAAAGCCAATTGCATCATGTAATAGTGTAAAATGTGTCCCGTAGCTCAGTAAAGGTCTGGCAACACTGCACTGTATATAATAATAAACATTATGACCCCGGATAAGTGCCAGCATCCACTCATCCGCCTCATCGCCTGCTTCTGCAAATGGATGCGAGTCACTTGCTAATACAGTTCATGCGTGTCTCTGAGGGCAACGGGTTGCTACGCTCAAAATGGGTTAGCGACAGAGATGAGGTACAAATGACAGATGGAGAGCTGGAGGGGGAATATCAGTGTGTGTGCTCCATGCTGTCAAGCCTGTGCGGCCTGTATTACTGACAAAAGGACAATGCCGTTATGACACCAATGCCATGCTGGGAATCTTCCATGGAAGGGCCTCTTACTAGCTGGTTGCTGGCTGGTGGCGAATAAGGGTCCCTGACATACTAATGATAGAGGTTCATAGCAACGAAACAACTGTAAACATCTGTCGACACTGCAATGACATGTCGGGATTTGAGAATGTCGCTAATGGGGCCCTCTGCAAGCATAGCAGACTTCCCATAAACATCTTTAACTTTTTTCTCCGCTACATTTCCTAAATAGAATGCATGGATTTACTTCAATAAATTGATCTAAACCACCTTTGATGGGATGCCTAAAGCTGACGAATATTGCAGGATGCAATTTTCTAACCCACAAGGTTAAACCGTTTGGTGTTGTTTGTAGATATTATTCTCAAATTGTAGTACTTTTAAATATAATCATAATAATTTAAAATAAAACTTCTCCCTTATTTTTGATAAACACCCAGGCCTGCAACCTCCTGTATTGTAACATTGGGCATTATAATGATGATTATTATTATTTCGAGAAGTATTTTTATCGAGGTGATGCTTGGTGTAAAAAGGTGGAGAACTATTTTATTGTAAGGGAACCAGAAAACAGTTCTAACTGCTCATTTTCTATCAAATACATTTACTCCCAATCAATGAATATGAGAAAATTAAGTCCATCAAATCTTAGAGTTAAGATTAAATGACACTTTATTCCGCGAAAGTTACTTTTGGTTACTCATGCTTTTACCCAAGTATTGCCTTTAGGCACTTTTTAAGGCTGGCAATTTGGAATGTGGTTGTTTATTTTCTTTTTTTAAATACCAAATAATTGTAAATTTGTTTTTGGTGCTGCTAATGTTGTGATTTGTGATCCACAGTCCTTATTGCCTGGAGCAAGAGGTCAACACAGCACATGTGCACAAATCAATGGTGTGTGTCGTGTAGTCAATGCGTTTCACACAAAGAAAGGACGGCGCAGCCGAAAAGTGTCATAGCACTGTATTTAAAGCTCTTCAACGTACTATGAGCACAGAGCCCACCCCTAAAACAGATCCAAATCCTGTGCATCGCCCGATGGGATCGTTCAACTAAAAGGGTTTGCAATGCCACGCAATAAGAAATCAAGGGAAAAAGAGGACTCAAAGATATACAGTGTGTATTCACAAAAAGTTGGGGATATTCGGCATTTGGGTGAACAGAATGCTTTTCTGTGACGCTTCCAGTCTCCTTGTTGCACTGTAAACTTAACGAAGCTAGAGATTGGAAGAGACACAGAAAGCCCTGCGGAAAAAAAATGTTGCTAAAGAGCTTTATTTCGTCTGAATTTACTTTAACATGAGCAATTTTTATTAACCTGAATTAATTTTTACATAAAAAATAAGGGGTTTATTTCTTTTGTCAGTCTGGGTTTATTTTAATATTGATGAAAGTATTTTTTTAATCTGTGAATTAATTTGAACACTGACAAAAACATTCAGAATTTAAGTGAACAAATATTTATTTAAATCAGAATTTATTCAAATGTTGAAATTATCATTTTTATTTTGAATTTAACTCTACAGTGACAAAATATTTTGGGCTTTTTAGAGTATTCATTTCAACACTGACAAAATATTTTTAAATTCCCTGATTTTTTTTGAATATTGACAAAAATCTATTTTGATTCGTCTGAACTGATGTAACGAAAATGTTTTTGAATTAGAATTTATTTTAACATTGAGTTGAGCAATATTTTTCCACTCTGAATTTAGTTCAACATTGACAAAAGTATTTTTTAAATTAAGAACAAATTTTAGCAATTAAAACTAACATTTTTTATTCTGAATCTAATACAAGGGAAAAAAAACCCTCATATTCCTAATCCTAATTTTAAGATTGCCCAAAAAATCAGTGCGAGGATTTTATTTTCCAAATGTAAATTTGACTTGAACAGGAAAACCTTGTTCACCTCAGTCAATGTATTTTATGCTACTCTTGAAATTTCCCTTCTGAAATCCCGAACTTTTTGCGAGTAGTGTAAACACTCCTTAATGTTACAGGGTTTTGTAAATAAATACAAAGCATACAGGGAAGATGCAACTTAAAGTCTGTGCTGTGTCTTAAATGAACATCAACACCAACTAAGTCAAAATGCAGTAGAGTGATCAATCCAACGTGTTCCGACCAGTTCTTCTTCTTCTTCCAGTTTGATACAAAGCCTTTCCAGTTGGTTTGAAAAGTGTTCACGTGAGTCCGAGGACCTCTAGCTCGCTCGCTCTCGTCGCCGCTTGGCTTCTATAAAACCTGAAGGGCCGTCCCCTTTGGACTGCTTGAAAAACGCACCATCGCCACGGGCGTCGTATGGCACTCGCATCCTGGTCCTGAGGCGGAGAGTGCATAATAGGACACGTTGTTGGACGCCCATGGCAAATTTTCACGACTTTCAACGCCACTTCAGTGCTATAAGGATTCCACTGACTAAATATGGCTCAAAACCGGATTGAAATTGATCTTTCGACCAAAGATTGCGCTGTCCAGTGCAATAGAAAAAAAGGCTCTTTTTTTTTCTACCAGTGTAGGGCTAGTCCAGTATAGGGTTGCAAAATCCTCGGAAACTTTCCAACAAGAAAATTATGGGAACAAAGCAAAAAAAAATTGAAGGTTGGCTCTCAACTCATTAACTCCGATGGACATTTATATTTGTCATCCCACCATTTACAAATATATTTGTTTGCGTGTGAAAAATCAAGCTTCTGCATCAGGGTAATGACAGATGCCAGTAGTTGCTGGTGTTGCATTACTTTATATTTGAGATCAGCACAGCTTTTGCGTAGAAGATACGATCAGGAGGTGAAAAACGTCTGTTATGAGGCAGAGAAATGTCGACATGTTGAAAGTCGGACAGGTTCAATCTCACATGCCAACAGAGTGCGGATATGTCTGGGTATAAACAAAGTATGTGTTGGAGTAGCTAGCAGTAAGTGTGTGTTGCGATTGTGAGAAAAGATGACACAGTTCACGGAGTGAATGACGAATGCCCATGTAAAAAAAGCCACTAAAGTTCAACTCGAACCATGCGGTGAATTTCTTCGTTGTATAGCTGTAAATCAATTATTTTGCCATCAAAACTCTTTCTTGGTTTTGATTTTGGTGAATTTCGGGTAGAAAACAGTATTTTGGGTGAAAACAACGCGACTTCTCTGAAAGGATGGAAAAAAATAGAAACAAACGTTTTTGTTGGGGAGGTGGAGTGGGGGATTTCAATCAATTCCCATAAATTTCTGTGGAAAATTCCCCATCATAGCTTCTAGGAATTGACCGTAAATTTCCCACCTCTTTGCAACCCTCGTTCAGTGCATGAGATACATCAATGCGACCCACTTTTTGGTCCCATTACTTTTTTTTTTTTTTTTTTAACAACAAACCACTGAAAAAGGATTTGGGCAGAAGAGTCATTAGAAAACCTGTAAAACGGATCAAAACCTACAGTATCTAGAAAGGTCTGTGAAAAGTCCTGAAAAGGTCAGCGATGTGGCACACAGCGAGTCTTGCAGCATTCAAAAAGGCTCACGGAGTTGAATGGAACAACTTGGCTGCGCTCGGAATCGCTCCCTCGCCACCAAATAGTCACGTCGCCATTTTGAAGGACAGTGGACCCCTGCTATTCACGTGGGACAATTTATTCTTTTTCCAATGGAAAAAAAAACCATTGCGATTAATCTCCAATCAGCGCTTTCCACATAAAAAAAAAATCTTTTAGCCCGCCTATGGTGTTTCCTATTATATGTAAGCATGAAGCTAACAAACTTTGGTGTTTACGTGCTTTGACTGAAAGTTTTGATGTTCTTTTTTGCTATGCGTCAGCTTTACAGTCAACTTCAACTAGGCCTTTTCGTTTCCTCAAAGTGATGTGATGAATAAAGTATAGTATACCTGTAAGTGTGTTTTCATGAATTGTTAAGGCACATAAGGTAAAACGATATTGTTTTCCCTTATATGGTCTCTCTATATCACGGATTCCCACCTTTAGCGGGTGTGTCACCGCATTTGCCAGCTGAAGTTGATCTGGTACGTTGTAAATGTGTGACAGCAATGACGTCAATAATGGCACGGCTGAGTAGCCTATTCAAAATTTTTTTCGTTTAACTGAGAAATATATTATACAGTTAACTCTTTAAAAATCCTTAAAGTGAACCTCCATTATTTGGAGGGTGATTGGGATTGTGCTTGACCAGAATTAGCCCCCGCCCCCCCAAAAAAATAAATAATAAATCCACCAGTCAGTGAATTTGCGAATGCCAAACCGCAAATATGCCGGTGTCCACTGTATATCATCAGTCAGTCCAGGAATTTAATTTGCCATGTCGTAATTGCAGGAATTCACACAAATTCAAACAATCCCCGCGCAAGTTCGTCATCAGAGCTTTCCGCCAGTCCACCAATCAGAGCAGTCCGTCATGCAAACGGAAAAAGTACGTCGAAAAACCTTTTGGATGTATCTTTCATTCAGAAGATACATGCATGTACCACTACAACATTAGAATCTCCCCCAAAAGAATTTCAGCTCTAGATTGTGCAAAACAGATTGGCCTTGTAACAATTACGGTTAATGTAAATAATTCACCACAAGACAAATCTGTTCACAAATGGCAACACCTATTGCAATTGTAAAAATGCTGCCACCAAATCAGGCATTTTAAACTCACTAAATCCTGAAGGGAGGACTATTCAGAGATTAGGGAGTCGCTAAGTGATTTAGTCTCTTCTCTCTCATAGCTATTCAGGGATTTTGACTCAACTCTATTGTGAAGTACGTGGTCTATTAAGGGGAAAAAAATCCAATTTTGTGATTAGGCAGTAGGAAATAGGAAATGATTATTTACTCCCAAATCACTGTAAAAAGATTTTGACTGGAATATTTCTTTCTTTTGTGTTGTGATGAGTCGAGACAAATGAATCATTTCAGAATCATTCACAATGTCCCGACACCCGGATCACCGTTTTGGGATTTTGACTCAAGTCTTTGTGAACTAGCTGCTAGTCCTTTTGACTTGACTCTTTTTGCACCGTGTAGTTACGATATAAAATTCCTCATTTCGTGTTTAGGGAACAGTTGCTGTGTTAGGAATCATTCGGCATTCCCGACTCCCTTATCACTTAAAATTGATTTTTAATACACTTTTTGGGAACCATCGAGGTCCACTCTATAAAAATTCCAATTTTGTGATCATGGAATCAGGCATGATGAATAATTCCACTTGTACTCCCTTGTAACTACAAAAGGATTTCTGGCCAACTTCAAAGGAACTGTCTGTGCATTACATGCAAATCTTGGCGATTAGAAAACGATTCCGACCACAGCCCTTGTGTCGACTAGCCCTCGGCGTCCATATTCAACGCCCTTGTCGACGCGTCAGTCATCCGGCGAGCACACCAAATGGAGCTGGTCCGGACTTCCCACGCTTCCTGTACTCGAGCTGCCGTCCCCCAGGTCCCGGGCCACCATGCACGGCAGGGCCAGCTCGGTGGACCCGCCTGGGCTGGAGTCACTCCGACTGACGCACTCCTCCTCTAGGACCAGGCACAGCTCCTTCAGGTCTAGATTCTCCTTGACCAGGCCATCCTGGGTGCGCTCCAGCTCGGCCAGCTTCTTCAAGTAGCCACCCAGGTCCTCGCGCATGACCTTTGCGGCGTGGTGGCCGAAGTGCTGCCACTCGCGCGCCAGCTTCTTCACCTTGAGCCGGTCGTCGTCCAGGAAGCAGCACAGGTCCCGCAGCTCCACGTTCTCCTCCTGCAGACGCTGGTTGATGACTTTGAGCTCGCGGATCTCCAGCAGGTGGCCCTGGAGCTGCTTGTTCACCTCCTTGATGAGACGACCCCGTTGGATGAGCGCCGACATCTTTTCCGACTCCTCCTTGCGCAGGCGACTCAGCAGCTCCTCCTTGGAGCAAGCCAGCAGGTCCTCATCCGACATCTTCGACAGCTCCCGTGTCAGGAGCTCCCCTTCGTTGCTCATCTTCTCAAATTCAACCCTTTGACACCCAAGAGACAAAAGTCAAGTCCGTTTTATTTGCAGATATTACGTTTGGATTGATTTATTTATAAGCATCATGCATCTAGAATGTACGCAATCATGAACCCATGTTACATAGTATATAAACAACTGCACTGGTGAGCAGGTAAAGCATTTAACAGTTCAGTTTAACTATCCCGGATTAACACGCGAGAGATCAACATCATCTTTCCGACTAATGATCATTACATTTTAAATATCTGTAACATGTTTCTTGTTGGGCGGCCCGGTGTCCAGTGTGTGAGTGTGAGCGCGGATGGTTGGCTGGCAACCAGTTCAGGGTGTCCACCACCTACTGCCCGAAGATGGCTGGGATAGGCTCCAGCACACCCCGCGACCCTTGTGAGGATGAAGCGGTTCAGAAAATGAATGGATGGATGAATGGATGTTTCTTTTTATTGATATCTTCTTGTTCAGTTGAAATTTCTGCTAAAGCTCCTCAACTCACTTCAACATATTCCCTTGGTAGACATAAGCCATCAAATGGTGCCACAGCAATACCTTTGTATAAATTAACTCTGATGCCCAAATTTTTTGATTAAGGCCTTTTAAGCATTTTAAAAATCTGTGTTATTGTACATTTGTTTCGTAATTTCAGAAAGCTTACTTTTTTTACTTTTTATTATTTCCTTTCCTTTTAAATCTTTTTTGTAAATGCATTTTAGTTTTGTCAATGTACATTCTCTTAGTAACTTAATAAGCTACTTTTGTTCTCTTTGATTTGCCTTTGAACTTCTTCAGCAGTTCTGCTTATAAATACTTTTAGGCGGTTTTGTTTGTGTGAAGCACATTGAGTTGCCTTGTGTGTGAAATGTGCTGTATAAATAAAGCTGCTTTGTCTTGCTCCTCATCTTTCTTCAACATAGTTTAAGATGCCACAAGATTACAGACAGTTGCAGATTTTTTTATGTAGTCAGTACCAATCCTCTGGTTTTTGTTGAAAAACTCATCTCGTCCCTGTTGTGTTCTCACAGAAAATATATGCGTTTTTCAGGCACTGAAATGCATCCACCCTTTATTTATTTTTTTACTAAACGTATTTCTGCAGTTTTTTTGCACTCAGGCCAAGGTTAAATTTTATTACAAAACATGTGAGTCATCTGTTCATTGTTTTTGTTCCATTATTCACTGAACAACTGACCTATTCGCTGTTTTTGTGAGTTTTTCAGATGAGTTTTTTTTTTGGAGGAAATATCCTCCGTTATGTGCTGAAAAGGAAAAGGTAATAAGTGGATGATTTTTCAGCAAATAACGAAGGTTAACCCCCCCCCCCCACACACCCACCCC